AGAGTCGGATCAAGTAAATTTTGGAACACAGCCTCGGTCTCCGATCCCCCCCCCCCCCTCCCCCCCCCCCCCCCCCCCCCCCCCCCCCCCACCCCTCGGGGGCACACCGTGCCCTGACTGTTCCCCGACTGCGCCAGTAAGGGAAAAGAAGAGGACGGACAAACACAAACCTTCAAACGAAGCTGTCAAAGCTAGTTACGCGAGCGTCTGTGTGTTGCTACGGCGTCTCCTTTGCACAAGAGCGCGTGCAAATAAGACGCAAGACGAAGCCACCTGTCTTGCAACAGTGCTAGCAGGGCGGGACTGCAGCGTCTCCTTTGTGCTACGCTGTCAAAGCTAGGTTAGCTTGCACAGTGCTCCAACTCCATCACAGATAGTTGCGCGAGCGCATGCAAATGAAGTGCAATAGACAAAGCCACGTGCTCTCGCAGCAGTGTCGGGCTGCTGCACATTGAAGCTACGCTAGCTTTGACAATATACCACAAGAACAGATAACATAGAACCAAAAAGTTTATGCCACAAGTGTATGAGGCTAATTCAGCCTGTCCAGTGACTTCAGCTCATCCGAATTATTTTGTTTACACGAGAAATCGCGCACAGAAGACACTTTTCAAAACCACACTCGCACCCGCGCTGATTTGTCAGCACTGGAGATGTTATTTACAAATTCAAAACCCAGCAAACACGTGTTCGTTGCCTTGGTAAGCATGGACACGAACAGTGAGAATGGCACCGCAGCATTTTATTGTTTACAAAACCTCAGCACGTGCATGTTCGCCGCGTTGGAAAGTGCAAAGCACCTGCCATAGGCGCGAACGCTAAAATGGGGATGGCGCGTCCCTTGATCGCATACCGCGGCAACGAATACGCACGTACTGTAGTGTAAAGCTGCGCGTTGGGTGATACAGCGTGACAGCCCAATTTCAGTGTTCGTTGTCACACGCACTATAAAGTGGCCAGAGGTCCCGGTTTAGGCAAGGACAGGTCCCGCTGTACCGATTAAACGGAAGGATGCATCAGGAGAGGGTGCTGACGCTGAAGGTTTTAGTTTGCCTGTGACATGCAATGAACATAGTACCTACAATAATATATACATTATTACTAAATAAATATTCCAAACAAATATATTACATGTGCATGCTAAACAGTGTGCAAACTGCAAGGAAAAGAAATGGGCACGGTGTATACAAAATAATAAAAAATGAGTGATTTGTTATCTAAATCTAAAGTTGTCAAAACTCAAAACAATTTGTGGTCAGAGGGTTATGGTCACTACTATACTCCGTCTCACAAATGTCTGCAGTAAAGACGGCACACGCGTGTGACCATAGCTCAGCAGAATCTCGTGCGTCAAAGACACTTCAAAACCACGCGCTCGTGATCGCAAAGATCAGCACTGCAGATCTTTTTGGGATTGAGTACAGGCTGTGTAGTTTGTAAATACATCTGACCGCCGCCGCCATGTACATTACGTATTTTACTACAACACTGTACCAGTTCTTGCATGATGAAGCACGTGCCAAATTACTCAAGCACCAAGTAGCAGGTCAAGGGAAGCGAGCAAGCCGGCCTTGTCGCGGCGGTCGCCTATTGTTCGCCGCGACCTAGCGGTAGCCGCCACAGGAGCATCGGGGAGCAATGGCGACGAACAGCACGGCGGGCTGTGTCCCCGTCGTGATTACGAAGGAATTTAAGGCAGTTACGAATTCGGAAAGCTCCTTCGGTAGTCGGTGCCGTCGGCGCAGAATCATCGGCGAGTAATAGCAACGAACACCACAGAGGACAGTGGGCAATTACGAATCCGGAAAGCTTCTTCGGTAGCCGGTGCAGAATCATCGGGGGAAAGCAAGGGCAATGAGCAGCACAGTGGACAGTGTTCCCGGGGTGATTACGACGGGGTTTAAGACGGTTACGAATCCAGAAAGCTTCTTCCGTGGTACCAATATGAAGAAGGGAAAACTCCTTCGTGAATCTGGCCGCGTGTACGACGTGAAGGAGGTCCGTTTCGACGGACAAGTGGATGTCACGGAGCGCCGTACTCCGCTAACAAAATTAAGCGCACCCGCAAAAAAATGTAGTTGGCGTTGAGTGGACTAGCTGTGGTAATTATGTACGTTTATTTCTGAATCAGCTTGACAATAACTGGGCGATTTTTTTTCGCGACGTTCCGCAATTCCCACTGTAGGCTGATGGAAACATCCAAGGGTAGGCTTAGGTAAACGACCGCATTCCGCTTCTCGATTCCGGTGAAGTATTTTGCTGCATACTTTAGAGTTTGCCGTCGGTGTCGATGCTGTTCCATCGTCGCTAGAATAGAAAAAAGTTAATTGTATTATTCGTCAGCAGCTTAAACAAAGCGCGAACTGGAAGGTAAGAAACGTCACTAACCTGTATGGACGCGCAAGTCGCACCCAGGTCGCGCAGTACTCCGCCTCGTACGGCTTCGAAGGGACGATGTAGTACTACGTGCCGTGCGCGATCTTCGACGTACTATTGCAGCCGACCACGCAGCAATGGTTACGGCTTTCTTGGTGCGGAATAGCCATCTCAGAGATTACAGCGCTAACCCACTACAGCGCACAACCAACGCAGCGACTGGCAGAAGCGCCCCGATGCAATGGACCCGTTTGTTGCTAGGGGCGCCCTGGTCGGGGCTTGAATTAGATGCGCACGGTTCCTTACACGCGCTGAACGCACTCGCCTTATCAGTATAGGCAGTGTCAAGGAAGCCAAGCCAAGCGAAAGACACTGGACTGTCGAGAAAGCCAAGCCCAGCAAAAGCCACAGACGCAGAGATCCAGCCATAGCGTAGCCAGCGTAGCATCATATATAAGGGAGTTTTAGAATAGCGCACGCTATTCTCGGCGGCGATCTCAACGCACACAACGAGGCGTGGGGGGACTCAAGAACAACAAAACGAGGCAGGGAGCTGCAAGAGACCCTCGACGGGACCGACCTCTCCGTCGCTAACACCGGCGAGGCGACGTTCCTGCGAACGGGCGTGGAGGGGAGCGTGATAGACTTGACGATGGCGTCGGCAGTGCTTCACCTCTGCGCCAAACCGCAGCCAGATGGCTGGGGATCTGACCACGCGCCCATCATCGTGGGAAGGCCCCCCAAGCCGCCCTCCAAGACATGTCGGGTCGTCGACTGGACGAAGTACCGGGCCGATGTCGCAGCCCTCCAAGCCCAAGGACGTGTCCTCGATGCCCAGACCATCGCGGAGGCGCTCTGCGCGGCCACGAGGACGGTACAGGTGCCGACCACCAGACCCAACCCAGACTTTCAGTGGCTCCTACTGCGAGCCCAGCGACGACGCGCGCAACGGAGGGCAAGGCGGACAAGGCTACCCGAGGACAAGGCGGCATTCCGACGCTCTGACGCCCTCTTCAAGCGGCACGGACGGCGGCTGGCGAGGGAACAGTGGGCGCTCAAGTGCGAGTCCCTCGACGGACGAGGGGGCACTGCGAGCGCCTGGCGGATGGCGAGGACGCTGGCCAACCGACCCCGCCCGCGTCACCCCATCATCACACTGGCCATCCGGCTGCACATTCCGACACAGGACGCCGTCGAAATGGCGGCCGACGCGCTCCTCGCCCCGCCCCCCCTGCCGCCGAGCCCCGCCAAGCGCCCACGCCAGTGGTCACGCTTTGCCCCCCCGACAGCGGACGAGATGGTCGGAGGCCAAGGGGACCTGCAGATGTACGAGCTGCGACGCGCCATCGCAGCCCTGCCCCGCAGGCGCTCCGCCCCCGGCCCGGACGGCGTCACCAATGCAGCCCTGAGGAACCTGGACGAGAGCGCCCATCCAGACCTCCTGGCCCACCTCAACGAGGCTTGGCGATCCGCGGTCCTCCCCCCGGAGTGGAGGACAGCGACCGTCGTCCCGGTGCTGAAGCCGGGCAAGCCGGCGGACCAGCTGAGCTCCTACCGCCCGATCGCACTCACCTCGTGCGTCGGGAAACTCCTCGAGAGGATTGTGATGTGCAGACTGGTGCACCACCTCGAGACGGTGGGAGCCCTGCCGGACTGCTACGCCGGCTTTCGGCGGGGGAGGTGCACGGCGGACGCGATCGCGGACCTCGCCACGACCCTTGAGGTCGGCAAAGCAAGGAGGAGGACCACGGGGGTGGTCTTCCTCGACATCGCCAGCGCTTTTGACGGAGTGCTCCACAGCGCCATCGTAGACTCCCTCACACGACTTGGCGTGCGGGGGAGAGCACTCCGCTACGTCCGAGCGTTTCTTCAGGGGCGCGAGGCCAGGCTTCGGGCGTCGGGCCTCTACAGCGCACCGCGGACGCTCACGAGAGGGGTGCCGCAGGGAAGCGTGCTGAGCCAATACCACCTAGAATACAAGGCCTGCGCGTTTCCTCCTCTAAACGTCATCACTAGTAGATCCCCTCAGCGCCCCCTAGCTAGCCCGGATGAGCAACATCGTCTGCTACATCGTCTGCTCCATCACCTGCTTCGGTGGTTTGTGTAACAGATAATGAAACAGATGCTCACGAAGAGTGTCTCTTGGAAATAGCATACGATGAAGTTAGTCGTTCACGTGGAGCGTCAAATGCCTGAGTGAAATTGCCTTACTGCTGCGCGAAGGGCTGAAAAGCCCTTCATTGGACGCTGGACGCTAACACTGGACGCCATTTTCGAAGGCGCTGTTTATACCCCGGGTAGCTGCTTCGAAACGATCTACCGCAGAACGAGCGCGCGCGCTAGAAATGCGCGTCTCAAAGCCAGGAACCCGTGCTAGCTCGCGCTCCTGGCCGAGGGAGCGTTCGCGTGCACGTCGCAAATGCACTGGAAGCTCGCTATCAGCTCGCGCTCAGCAGTCACGCTCACAGCTGCGGCCGCAAGTGAATGCGACGTAATTGCGACGCGGCCCCTACTCTCGTCAAGCTTCGGGGTGTTTGCCGCTTGGGGCGGGTCGGGGATCTACTAACGAAACGTCATGCGCAGGCCTTGTCTTCTAGGTGGTATTGGCTGAGCCCGCTCCTCTTCAGCGTGGCTCTCGCAGCGCTCCCTCACGCGGCGCGGGTCGGGCCGCGATACAAGGTGCCCTTGCAGATCGCGACCTACGCGGATGACGTCGCGATCTGGGTCAGCGACCACGGTGGGCGGAGACGGTTCGTCCAAGACAAGCTCCAGCGCGCCCTCACTAACATGGAGTACTACCTGGCCACGCTCGGCCTGACGCTCTCGGCCCCTAAATCCGTGGCGCTTTACAACGGCCCACATCGAACGTTCGACCTCACCCTCTCCATCAATGGCCGACCGCTGGAGTTGCGGAGAGAGGCCACGTACCTGGGGCTAAGAGTGGACGACCGGGTGACCTGGGAGCCAGCGGTGAGGGACGCGCTACGAGCGGCACGGACCACCACCAACATCCTTCGCCTCCTTGGAGGAGCCCGCAGGGGCACAGAACAGCGAATGATGCTGCAGCTGTACCGCGGCCTTACCCTGGCCCGGGTCCTGTACGCGCTGCCCCTGCTCGCTCTCACCGAGCACCAGTGGGGGCGCATCGAGCAGGCGCAGCGCGTGGCACTACGAGTGTGCCTCGGTGTCCCGAGACACGCCTCATCGAGGCTGACGCTGGCTGAGGCCGGGGTAAACACAGTCCGGAACACGGCGGGCGAGCGGGCACTGCGGCACCTCATCAGGATGCAAGAAACTCCGAGCGCCGCATCCCTCGTCGCACGCATCAGCGGGCGGCGGGCACAGCTCGCCGACACCTTGACGCGGCTGCGGGACATCGCGGGCGCTCCAGTCCGCTACACGGCACCTCCTCCGCCGAATGAACCGCCAGTCGTGGTTGCTGAGCTGTTGGTGAGCAACCTGAGTGCCAAGAGGAACGTCCAGCCAACAGTGGCACGCCAGCTCACAGAACATCACTGTGACGAGCGCTACCACGGCTGGGCACGCCTCTACACTGACGGCTCGGTGCGTGACTCCACCAGGACGGCGACAGCAGCGGCGTTCCGCGAGGACACAGGGAGGACCGCTGCGGAGCGCCTGACGTTCCATGCCTCATCGACCACGGCAGAACTCGCGGCGCTGCAGCTTGGCCTGCGACTCCTCGACGAGAACGAGCCGGCTCGGGTCGTCGTACTGGCGGACTCGAGGGCGGCGCTGGGCCTCCTCCGCTCCCCGGACCGTTCACCACAGCTGGCCAGGGAGGTGGTGGCGCGCGTGGGCGAGCTTCAGGTCAAGGGCTGGACCATCGCCTTCCAGTGGCTACCGTCACACTGCGGGACGTCCGGCAACGAGAGGGCGGACCAACTGGCTGCCTGGGCCCACGACGACCCTGGATGCCCCCTCTCGCCAGTCCCGCCGTTCGCGGACGCACGTCTGCTTGTGCGGCGGCGAGTCGCGCTGAGCCACCCCGAGCTCGAGCGCGGGCCGCTTCCTCCCAGGCTCCCCAGGCGGCTGACGAGGGGCGTGGCGGCCGTCCTGCACCGCCTGCGTACCGGCTCCAGCTTCACACCCGCCGGGCGCGCGAGGTGGAGGACCGACCACGATGACAGCTGCGGGCACTGCGGCGCCCACGGAGACGCAGAGCACCTGATGTGCCATTGCCCGCGCTTCTCAGACGCGCGGGCGAACTTGGGGCACGCATACGGTGCCCTCGGCTGCCCCAGCGGCACTCTGGACGAGTTGCTGCGACCCGGGCTGCCCCGGGCAGGGACAGAGCGGGCGTTCCGTGCGCTGGCCACCTACTTGGTCAGCACCGGCCTCACAGACGTTATGTGAACGCCCAGGGCTGCCCACAATCTACGAACACTAGGACGACATCACAGCGCCGCCCGCCGCGCCACGGCGTGTCGATAACAAGCGACCGGTTTTTTTTTTATTTATTTATTTTTCTCCCTCTTTTTTTTTTTTCTTACCTATACTCCCAACCCCCCTTCCCCCAATCGGCTGTGACATGCAGGCATCCTGCCAGCAAAAACGGTCCGTTTTCTGGAGAAAAAAAATAAAGCACTCAACTCAACTCAGCGCACGCTAAAGCCTTGCGTACGCAAAGAATAGCGTCGTCGCCACTGCGCATGCTCCGAACGCAAACCAGGTTTTGCGCTTTGCGTGCGCAATTTTAGCGTGCGCTATTTCTCGGAAATAGCGTGCGTACGCAAAGAGTCTTTGCGCTTTTCCAAGGAGGATTCGTGATGAGAAGTTGACTAAAGCCAAGACGAGCAGAGTTAAAAAAATGGCGGCTTCCAGGGTTATGTCGGCGGCTGCTTTGGCGGCGTCGTGAGTGCGACGTCTGAGGCATCCTCGCGACTGCGATTTTCAATACGCGACGACATTGTACTCGGTTTGGCAACGATCACCGGCAACTTGATGCTTGCGACGCGCGAACATTTCACGGCGAAGGTACGATGTGCGAAGGTCAGTACACGAGACCTCTCTTGCCGAGGCGACGCAAGCGGACACGACCTGTCAACCGCTCGCGTCGCATTCTCATGTTTAAACAAATCTAAATTAATACTCTGAACCAAAAAAACTTGTTTTTTTCTAAAGTTTCAGCATTTCGTGTGTGAAATAAAAATTGTGACTGTATCTCGGTGTCGTCGCAAGCGCGAGATGGTTGGGCTTTTGCGTCGCGACGGAGAAACGCTATTCTAAAACTCTCACGCGTCGCGTGCGCTAATACAAGCGCTAAATTTAGCGCTAGCGTGCGCTAAAATTGCGTACGTTATTCTAAAACTCCCTAATCCGCTCTCTAATCGAATCAATAAACATTGTTTTCTGAAATGGTGACAGAAGCGGGATCTACCAAGAAGAAGAAAGAAGAACCTCAGCAGAAACGATACAGCCACTGATTCGAGCGACGGAGCGAAGAAGACGCCGTTAAAACAAGACAAACAAGCCGACACACGTGAGCGCCGATTCCGAAACTATGAAAGGTAGTCTAAAGGCCCCGAGGCCTCTTGATCTGTCGTCGCAGTCGCCAGAGGCCTGGGACGACTGGCTTCAGAGCTATGAATGGTACGCAACAGCGATCCAGTTACAGAAGAAACCTCCCGAAGTTCAAGTAGCGAACTTCATGACTGTCATCGGCCCAGACGCACAGAACCTGTTCCGAACGCTCGCACTGAGCGAAGACGACAAGAAAAACCTGGACATCGTAAAGCAACGGTTCAAAGAGCACTTCCACCCGAAGGTCAACCATGCCTACGAACGGTACAGGTTCAATCAAATGAAGCAGAAAGAGGGCGAGACTTTCAACGAGTTTCTGACGGCCGCAAGACTACAAGCAAAGAAATGCAAGTTCGGTGAGCTGACTGACGAACTACTACGCGATCGCATTGTCGTTGGCATCACCAACGACGATGTCAGAGAAAGACTGCTAAGCGACCCGACTGTCGACCTGCAGAAAGCCGTGAATCTCTGCAAGGCGAGCGAACAGGCGTCACAGCAGCTCAAAGAAATCGCAAACAAAGAAACGAGGACTGTCGACGCCGTCACGAAGAAGACAAAGCAGCTACCGAGAAAGAACACTGTCGCGGAGACAAAAGAGCAAGCGCCGGCGAATTCGGGAATGGCAAGAAAAACATGCAGCTTCTGTGGAGTATTTCACAGATCAAAAGAATGTCCAGCGTATTGCAAGACGTGTAACAAGTGCCAAAAGAAAGGACACTTTGCTGCAGTGTGCCGATCAAGCAGAAGTATGGTGCAACACAAGGTCCATGCCATCGACAACCACGAAGACCCTGAAGAAGAAATGTATGTGTCGGAGCTGAGAACCAAGACAAGCAAGACAGTGTGGCAAGGAGAAATCCAGTTCAAGTGTGGAACTAAAGTTGTCATGAAACTGGACACAGGAGCGCAATGCAATGTCCTTCCAAACAAGAATGTCCAAGCCATGAGACTACAAGCGTTTCCTTCGCCAGTCAAAAGAATCGCAACATACAGCAATCACAAGATGCAAGTGATCGGTGAGGTGAGAGAAACATGCACTGTCCGTGATGAGCCGGCGAAACTGAAATTCCTCGTTGGGAACTCTGACGTGACACCAGTTCTGGGTCAGAACGCATGCAAGCTCCTCAACCTCGTTAAGAGAGTGCACACAGTCCAAGCAACGCAAGAAGATGACGAAATGTTTCAAGGCATCGGTTGCATCAAGAACTTTGTCTATGATGCCGATGCCAAAGAGGAAGCAAGCAAGAAGCTGGAAAACAAGCCACGAAGAAGGGTCCCATATGCGCTTATGGATGAAGTCAAGCAAAAGCTCACGAGCACGGAACAGAAAGGAATCGTCGAAAAAATCACAGAACCAACTCCATTCTGCAGTGAAATGGTTGTTGTGAAGCAGCGAGGAAAGATCAGGATCTGCATCGATCCAGTGGAACTGAACAAAGTTCTCATAAGACGAAACTATCCTCTCAAGACTTTGGAAGAAATTGTTGCGCATGTCAGAGGATCCAAGCGGTTCACTCCGCTAGACCTCAAGAAAGGATTTTGGCAAATGCAAGTGTCAGAGCGCACCAAAAAGTATCTAGCCTTCAGCACTCCGTGGGGCAGGTACTGCTTTAAGAGAGTTCCATTTGGCATAGCCACAGCACCGGAAGTTTTTCAATAAGTCATCAGCAGAATCCTGGAAGGGATTCCGAACGCCGTTAACTCCATGGACGACATCCTGGTGTATGCCGAAACGAGCGAACAGCTGCAAGAAACTACAAAGGAGGTCATAGATGCTCTGAAAGAGGCTGGCACTAAACTCAACGAAGACAAGTGTGTCTTTGACAAGCCTGCAGTCAAGTTTCTTGGTCACGAAATCACTGCAGAAGGACTCAAGATGGACCAAGAAAAGGTAGCCGCCATCGACCAGTTAAATGAACCAAAGAACAAGACCGAGCTACAGAGACTGCTAGGGATGATCCAGTATCTCCAGAAGTTCGTGCCCAACCTTGCGGACAAGACTGCACCACTGAGAAACCTCATCACCAAGGACACTGAGTGCCTGTGGACAGAGGAACAGAGCAAGGCACTGATCGAAATCAAGCAAGCGCTGAAGAGTGCACCAACACTCACATACTACAACGTTAATGGTGCTATGACCCTTTCAGTGGACGCAAGCTCAAAAGTCCTAGGAGCTGTTCTCCTGCAAGAAGGAAAGCCTGTTGCCTACGCCTCAGCAGCAATGACGGAAGCACAACAGAACTACCCTCAGATCGAGAAGGAGGCACTAGCGATCCGATACGGCTGCCGGAAATTTCACCAGTATATCTATGGAAGATCTCTAACCATCGAGACTGACCACAAGCCGATCGAAAGCATCGCAAAGAAGCCGCTGAGCAAAGCCCCTCCTCGACTACAAAGACTTCTCTTTGACGTACAGCAGTACGCACCAACAATCGTCTACAAGAAAGGAACAGAACTCGTGATCGCAGATCTACTGAGCAGAGACTGCATCAAGAACGAGTAGGCAGGTGCATATACAGATGACATACAAGTGATGGCAATTGTACCCATGTCACCTGAAACAATGGAAGAACTAAAGAGGGACATTGCCCAAGACAAAGAAATCCAAGAAGTGATCCAAGCCACGAAAGAAGGATGGCCAATCACCACAAGAGGGCTCAGTGACCCAATGAAGCTGTATTGGTCATTTAGGGATTAACTCGCTGTGGATGAAGACATGTTGTTCAGAAGCGATCGGATAGTCATTCCGAAGACTTGGAGAAACAGACTGCTCGTCCAGATCCACGCGGGACACTTAGGCATAAACAGCTGTCTAAAGAGAGCCCGCGAGACTGTATACTGGCCAGGGCTAACGACAGACATCAAATGCTACGTGGAAAGATGTGCCACATGCCAAGCAACTGACAAGAAACCAGCGAGAGAGCCACTTCATCTCAAAGAAATACCAGACCTCCCGTGGGAAAGAGTATCATCAGATCTCTTCAACTTCGAAGGAAAATCCTACGTTGTCATTGTCGACAGCTACTCTGGATTCCTAGACTTCAAGAAGCTCTCAGGAGAATCGTCAAAAGAAGTTGTAAACGTCATGAAAGAGTGGCTAGCAACTCATGGCGTCCCCAAAGTGATTGAAACACACAACGGTCCCTGCTACGCAGCACAAGAATTCAAGAACTTTAGCAGAGTCTGGGGCTTCCAACACGTGCCTTCAAGTCCGAGGTATGCACAGTCAAACGGTCTTGCTGAACGAGCCGCTCAGACTGCAAAAGGGATTCTCCGAAAATGCTTTCTGGTTGGAAGCGACATACAAATGGCCCTCCTCAGTTTCAGAAACACGCCAAGGAGTGAAGAACTGGGTTCACCTGCACATAGACTGTACAGCAGGAGGACAAGAACTCCAGTTCCCACACACAAGCTACAAAAGCCCGAAATAATCCAAAGCGTGCCGGACAAGCTGCGTCACGAGCGCAACCAGCAGAAGACTTACGCTGACCAGCACTCCAAACGAGCCCCTGCCATGGCCCCAGGCGATAAAGTCAAAGTTTGGGAAGAAAACAGGAGATGAGTTCCTGGAACTGTCGTACGTCTTTCGGAAGAACCTCGGTCTGTGATAGTACAGACGCCAAAGGGACAGTACCGTCGCAATACGTCCTTTGTTTGTCCGACTAAGACTGAGCTACACCACGCTGCAAAAACTCATACTACCAGCATCGAGCCATATGCGCCACAGCCTGTGACCGACAGCCGAGTGTGCCCCAGCCCCCAGCGAGAGAACCCGGCAGACTCAACCACCGTTACCAAATCAGGTCGCATAATCAAACCAGTCGTCAGGCTTGATCTCTAAAGAAAAAAAGGGGGATGTCAAGGAAGCCAAGCCAAGCAAAAGACACTGGACTGTCGAGAAAGCCAAGCAGAGCAAAAGCCACAGACGCAGAGATCCAGCCATAGCGTAGCCAGCGTAGCATCATATAATCCG